ATGTTTCTAAATGTTTCTAAATGTTTCTGAATGTTTCTAAATGTTTCTGAATGTTTCTGAATGTTTCTAAATGTTTCTAAATGTTTCTAAATGTTCCTGAATGTTTCAGAATAAAACAAACGGTCCCTTTAATGATCCGTGATTATGCAACCCCACCCCCCTACCCCCTCTGGGCGGGACAGTACCGCCTGTGGCCGGTGGAGGACGCTGCAGAGCCTGGTGGTGAATCATCCAAGCGGCGGCTCCGCGGCTCCTGACCCGCATTCACCCGCACTGTACCGGCAGGGGAGGGAGCAGCGAGCACCGGGAGCAGAACCAGCGAACTCTTCCCCCCGCGCACCGTCTCCATGGCTCTCCGGGAGGTCTCCGGCGGCGCCCCGGGCTCCACTCACCTGACAGCGGACTGAGAGCAGGGCCGGCACCGGGAGGAGGAAGCCAGCGACGCCGCGGCAGAGACGGTAAAAACAGCCGGACTCCATTTGGTTCCTGCGCATTTGTTCTGCTGGTTTTTCATGCGTTAATCCCGCAGCTGCACGTTGTCGGTCGGTTCGGACGCGGATCGTGTTTACGGTGTGAAACTGGGTCTTTCTCCGGGCGGGTGGGAGGTGGAGGTGGAGGGGGGGTGGGGGTCTGCTGGACGGGGACGGCCGTGCAAGGTGAGCGCTGTCCTCACGTCAACCCGGCGGCACCTATAGGTGACTGAGTGCAGGGAGACCCGCACTGACGCGCTCCTCCGCCGGGTCCTGCCTCCCGCTGTCCCCGCAGTGTGACCTACATGACGGCCATGTGCTTCCCGTTCCCCCCGCGGCTCCTGCACGGCTCCGGAGTTCACGGTTAAAGTTGGAGCTATATGACGAGCGCGATCACAAACCTGTTAACGCACAGGACACTCTGCCCTGCACGGCCCCGTGCACGACCCCGGGGGGGGGGGGTGGTGACACCCCAGCTTTGTGCAGAGACGCAGCAGCACCCAGGCTGTGTGTGCATGTACAGTATGTGTGGAACCTCCCAGCGTGTGATTTACTGCGCAGTCATTGTTCACATTCCTTTGCTGTGACATGTCCAAGTGGGTCTTTGTGTGCAGAAGTGTGTCCTGCAGACTCGGACCATGCATGTGTTGCTGGGGCAGTGGGGGGGTGCTGCATGGGTGTCATATCATGCACTGAGTTAGAGTACATATGTGTCAGCTGTGTGTGTGTGGAGAGAGGAGAGGTTCAGGTACAATCAGATGTGAGGGTTGTAGTTCAGGAGGTCACAGCTGTGAGGGAGGGGGGGGGGGGGTCACACATGCAGCACTACACGCTAAGGCCGCCATGCTTCACGTGTGGAAGAGACGCCTCCGACAGGGCCGCACTTATTTCTGATTTTGTCCAAGATCTTTAAATTGAGTCAAGAAATGCGTCGTGCATGTGACATGTTGAAGAAAAAGACATCCAGAGAGGGACGGACAAAAAGTAAAAGTCTCATGTAAACACAGCTGAGCGTAAAACTGGAGTCAAGGTGAAATAAAAGTTTCAGGAGTGCAGCAGCTCGGCCTGAATTTAAAGTAGCTGGAGATCTGCTGGTGCACGTGACTCAGGCTGAGATACAGTATAACAACACAACACGCTAACGGTAAAGGTTCCTCAGCCTTCAGGGACACGCCGTCAGACTTCCACGGTTTCGTGCGTTTGACATTTATCCCGTTGAAGAGACGTGACACCTTCCATCTGTTCTGTCTTTTTGTTCTCAACACATTTCAGATAAAGACGTCCAGAGGAAAACTCTCCTGTAAACACAGCTGAGTGTAAAACTGGAATCCAAAGGAAACGAGGAGAGCGGGAGCCCGTTCTCCATTAATATTACACAGGGAGTCCTCTCTCCCGCTCACGTTGTTTCCCCTAGTAACCCAGTTATTATCCCGTTAGCCTGGTCTGGAGGATTTTATTAGTTTCCAGCTTCTTCCCGAAGGTTCAGTGTTTGTCTGTGTGAGCGCTTCCTTCTTGTTTGGTTGGAAGTGAGGAGATCTGTGTGCCGGCATTGTTCTTTTCAGACAACAGGACACAATGCTAGAGATCCTATTGAAACACACTTATTAATAGATCTTATTGAGCCAAGTAACGATCGCTCACTTCGCTAACATCTTGGAAACATTCATTCCTGTAACATTTGTTTTCCTCTTGAAGACGATGCTCTGAAAACGATGCCAGGATGAATCCAAGTAGAAATATATATGTATGTATATGTACATGTATACGTGCACATACATACAAAGCCATAATCTCAGCCAGCAGCCAGACGTGACCTCTTTTGACGTCTGTATCCCTAACACCACCCCTCCTCCCCCTCCCCTCCATTCCCATAGCTGAGTGCTGCGAGGCAGTGCCCTGGTTTTCCGAGGTAGGCTGAGGCTTAATGTATAGCGCGAGGGAAGGGGAGGGGAGAGGGGGAGAGACAGCCCAACCCCCCATCCCTTCGCTCTCCTTTCTCAGTCTGAGGGAAATCGGTTACATAACACACATAATAGGGCGTATGGCGGTGGTCCCTGAGGTCCCACGGCCTGCTGACGTCACTCAGAACTAGACAGAGGGGAGGGAGGGGCTTAGAGTCATACATGTACAGTGTATGTGCAGGCAGCTGCTGCTGAGAGAAGTTAACCCCTGCAACACGCTGCCGTCACAAGAGGCAGTGAGAAAAACCAATGAGTGAATCTACAGCGACGGGAGAGAAGAAACTGCCGAGAAGATGAAACCAGTCGTGTCCGGCTTGATTTCACGTCTAATGATGTTTATTTATCCATCGACTGCCGATTGTTTCTATTGATTCAGCCCAGAAACCTGTTTTTAATCAACCCACACCTTCGATCTGTCGACTAATTCCATTGATTCAACGCTTCGTCATGACAGCAACATTCATGGAATCACGTTAACTAAGCAATTTGTCTAGAAATTAAAAGCACATTCGTTTTTTTTCTTTACTTTTATTTTGAAAGGTTGTGAACTTGGTTCTGGGGATCGTTGTTTAACAGAAGAAGTTCAGTTTCA